GAAAAGCCGCTTTGTCAAATATCTTCGCTTGATGGTAAATGCAGATAAGTACTTTCTTCATCAGCGTGTCAGTGTATAAATTGTGTCTCGATACAAAAGCCCTCCGATACCGCCTTTCCATTGAACTCCATTCGCTTTCTCGTTCGAGGGACTCGTGCGCACTTTTTCGAGCACAACTCCTTGAGTCTTCGAGATTTAATACACGCGCTTTAGTTTATTTAATGCGAGCGCGCGCGCGCACACACACACACACACACACACACACACACACACACACACACGTCGAGCATTTATATGGTACAACCGCTGCGGGAGATGTGCCGGTATACACGTATCGGAGCGGGACATTTTTCATTTGGAAACTGATCGAATCACGGCGCAGGTATGGGAGGTCGAGGAGGGAGAAACACTGGGATTCGCTGATTTGTTGAGGAGGGAGAGAATGAATTTGCGCGCGTGCACGACTCCCATCGTACATGGATTTTTTAAATCTTTTACGCTATGATTCTATTCTTTTATTGCCAGATATCTTGGCAATGACGAGATATCACATAGTCTCTATTGTCTCCTTGTCACAATAAAAACCAACGACTGCGATTTTCTATACGGCTATTGTATTATATGATTTTTGTTGCGAGAAGATCATTTTTTCGCAGTCTAACGAAAATTTTGCCCACGTCTTTATGCTTATACACATACTTATACATATTTATTCGTTTACATCGTTTAATTCACATTATCAGAACAATTAAATATGCAATTCATATTTTGTTTGTTATATGTAAGCAATAAAAATGCTGAGAAAGCGTATAAACAAATATTATTTTACCAAATTTCATCAAATAATACGATATGTTACAGCAAAAATAATAATGTCTTTTAACTGGTAAACAGAAAAAGTTTGTAAATAAATATAATATTTTTCCTGAATTAATAAATAAATAAATGATTCTTTTTTTTCTTAAGCAAAGATTAAAGGCAATTATAAAACTATTTATGTTGTATTCTATGTAAAACTCTTATTTTAATTATAAGTTACAGTTAAAGTTAAAGTTATCTTATTTTATAATTTTCCATAGATATTTAAATGTACATTATAACATGGTTACTTACACATTTGTACATTTTGTATTTTATTTCATAAACAGCACAAGTTATAGGTGGCTCTTTTTATTACATAATATATATTTTATTACAAAGTTGTGTAATGTAAAATAGTACTTTTGGCAATGATATTTCACTTTATTAGAAAGTAATTTTTTGGTGTCATAAATCTCTCGTGTATTTTTTGATGAAATAGCGGCTTGATGAAGGATTTCTATCGATTGCATTTGGTACTTTCGTCAAAGAAAGCAACAAAAATGTTAATATATTAAAAATTTATTCTTATTTATATGAATAGAAATAGGAATAAAATATATGGTAAAATTTAATAAAAAAAGGTTTATTTTACATTTGCTATAAATGTAAAATTTACCTAATGAATTCTGTTGATTAAGAATAATATGTTTTTAATTTGTTATATAAAATATATATTTATTATCACATACACAACATTTGCTCACTTTTAATGAATTAAATATATTATCGAAATTATTCACGGTATCGTGTAAAAATCGTAATATTTTGAAAAGGAACAACAATTAAAAAACAATCAATTTAGTTTATAATTTCGAGGAAAATTCAATTTGTATTTCAATCATTATAATAGTAAATAATCAAATGAATATTCACTATTCTAGTATTAGGCGAATTGAATTTATGTTGAACAATTTGTTAAAGTAATTTTTAACATTTTTCCTCATTCAATCCTTTTGGTGCGAATCTCGTCTACTATGCGCACATGCAATTTGTCAATTATGTCAGATAAATTATCAATCTCGTACCATAAGACCAACTCTTTTACATATATTTCACACACACACATATATATATATATACACACACACACACACACACACACACACACACCTATTTGTTTATAACTTATTGTTTACATAAATTAATAGTAACAATGTATAGTTGTACACAATTAATTAGTTCATTTAACGATAGTGAAGTATGGCTTGATTGCCAAATGAGCTCATTAAAATTATCTCCTATTTTGATATTAAATAATAATTTCCTTCTCTATTATTTATACTCATAATATATTTGTCATAATTACAGCAATAATTAATCGCCCATCGTGTTCTACAATTTTTCTTTAATAAATATGCTACTTGACACTGTTCAGACATATACGTATTAATAGTTGATGATAACATGTCATAAAAAGTGTACTTGAATGCATTAAAATGAAAGTCAACTTAACTTGGAGCGTTAAATAGTTTCAATCATATAAACTGTGGCCACTATTATAGTTGTGAATAGGAAACAAGTATCGTTAAAGTTTCGTATAATAATAATTAAAAAGAAAATAATAATGAATTTCAAAATAAAAATTAATAAAAAAAAAATAATAAAAAAGATAAATAAAGATTATATTTTCAGTAATATTATCCATAATACTAATAATGTCGTTTAAATTTCAATCAATAATTACAAACTTTCGATCTCAAAATTACTTAAATAACTTCACCAAACTATATGAAAATATTTCATAAAAAATTACAAAAAATTTTAAATGTATAATAGTTATAGTTAATGTTTAAAATAATATTAAAGATAGACGTGTACAGTCAATATTGGAAAATATGAGAAATCGGTACTTTCGGTACTTCAACTTGGTGATGCTTTGATCAAATGTTTATTATAATCTTGTTTGTAAACATGATTATCGTCATAAATATTTGTCTACGAAACTGCATGATATGATTTAATTAAAATATTAATTCCATCAATATTTGTTTGACTCAAGTAGGAATATAGTAATTGAATAAATAATGTGAAATAATAATTAATGCCAATACGATACTCTGTGTGTGCGCGCGCATATATATGTTGCGCGATCATATATGTATGCATGGATGCATGGATGCATGGGTGTGTAGACACACGCGCGATTCATTTAATTACACATTGTATGCACAGTATTTAATTGACATGCGTGTTTCTTTTTCAATTTGATCGTATACGCATTTTCCTTTGATGATACATTCTAGATATCGGCTCCAGTCGGTTAAATTGCACTCTTCCCTCGATTTATTATAATAGTAGGAGAAATATTTCGTATTCGTTACACTCAGTTGAAATAAAAATCGTAGAGGTTCAAAAGAAAAGTGATTGAAAGTCGAGCACCGCGATGATCAAATAGAACAGGAATGTAATTTTTTTTTTTGTTTTTTTTTTTTGTTTTTTGTTTTTTTGTTGTTGTTGTTGTTGTTGAAGTAAAACTGAATATTAAGGTCAGCTCGAGTACGCGAAAGAAACGAGGCGCGTGCGCAAGAAAGAGATAACGGGCGGATAAAAAGATCTTGGATGACAGAATGGGTTTTCGCTTCATATCGGGTCTCGATCTGGCCTCGACGGGAA